GGAAAATATCGATGCAGCCGAGCTGTTTCACGAAACGAGGCTGCGGCGAGAGGCCGACAGGAGAACTGGCGAATCGTTGCACCGGCTGCCGAGCGTTTTTGCTCGATTTCTCAAAACCGATCGAGCGTTCCCGATCAGGGGAGCAACACGCGTAGCTTGCACGCCAGGCGTGACCATCGGCTACCGCGATACACCACGAAAAACGTTCACCGCCCGCCATGCTCAGTCGCTCACGTCTATTTACATTGGCACCGTTGCGGAGAACCATCGACCCTGCTCGAACGTGCCTTCCATCCGCGACAATGAAAATCTTCGATTAGATCTAAACGATACGGTCCTTCGCTTTGCATAAATCCAGATCCAGATGGATAAACCATTCGTTGCATCCAATTTATATCAAAAACTTGAATGTTCAATATTTTCAAAATAATCTTGTTAAATATTATGAAACATTTCAAATACTTATTCCGAGGAACAATTTCACAAGAGGTCTGAAAAGAACAGTTAAAACTCCTATTGAAATTCTTGACGCGAACCACATCCACGTAAAGACGTTTTGTCCTTCTCGTTAAATCCTGCCAGTGGCAAACCTGGAAAAGCTAATGAACGTGAGCCGAGATCTCTTTCTCTCGCCATATTTCTATTCTTCCTACCCGTTACATTGAAATTTTCCAAAGAACCAGGAATATGCACACGGATATATGTATACGTATGCGAAAGGAAGAGGACACGAAGCAAAGCGGAAAGCGCAAGAAGAAGAAGCAGAAGAAGAAGAAGGAGAAGAAGAGAAGAGGCAGGCGTTCAGCTCGCTTTGCCCGAGCACTGATGATAGTTTTTGCTCGGCAAGATTTTTTGCTTCCACCCCCGTAGCCACCCCCAAGGGTGGATGATATATGACCGCCCCCGAGACACTGGCCACCCCCGGCGGGAAAAGCTAAAAGAGAAAAAGAGATAGAGCTACGGAGATACATCCTGATTCCGGAAGAATTCCTTATCTACAGGCGCGTGCATTTCTGTTTCGAAAGACACCGCTGCTCGATCGTTATCCAATTTCAATAATTTACTCGATCGTTAATAGTAACTCTAGATATATCGCTTCTAAAAGAAATCTCAATTCGCTAATTCGCGAGAGATTCGCCCCCGTTGATCGGCCACCCTCGAGGAAATTTAACAGGGTGTCTCCGAAGCTCGTTTCCACGGATGAAATATCGACGTTCCCGTTTCGAAATTCGTTTATATAGTTCCATAAACTGCTGTCTCGTTCAATATTGGCTAAGGGTGGTATTTTCGACTATCGGGTTAAGCGACATCGTTCCAACTGGAAATGTCCATGTTTTCGAACGATCAGTTTAATCGAAACATTCGGTGGAAAGAAAAAGATACGAAAAGCATCGAGTGGTTCGAAGAGGGGTCGACTTCGACTGTGCGAGTTCTTGCACAAGGCCTCTCGCAATGAATCAACTTATTTAAGGGTAGTTGGATTTCGCGAGTCGATGCACGACTACGAACTACCCCACCAATCCCCTGTGTCCCTCCTACCTCCGACACAGCACGCCTCGTAGAATGATTTATAGTTTTCCTTCCGTGGTCCACCCATCCACCTACCACCCTGTAGTCGCGTGCAAACGGCACCCCTCTGCCAAATGTACGCAAAATAGTCGGAATTTGTTCACCACCACCCCTGCGATCGAGTTTAAATTCCATCCTATAGAGCAACAGACACTCCGTTATACTATAAAGTACCATTCCCGATTAAAACTCTTTAAAGCGAACATTTATAAATTGATATTTCGATATTGTTCGATAATACGAAGAAGGGGGCGGAGAAAAAATAGCGAAACGAAGGTGAATGATTGATGGAAGTGTAGTGCACAGTTGGCACCGGTGTTCGATCAGTTTTGCATTCATGGGCGTGGAAACTTCACGGCTTTTTTATTCCCGTGCCGCGTATTTGCAGAGCTGTCATGGAGGAGTTCCGAAAACGAAGTGAATCTTTATGGCTTTGGTCACGAACACTTTTCGCCTTCTTCGAATTTTAACGCTCGCGTATACCCCGGACACACGATTACTCGACGCGAAGCGAACTATCGCGTGACTATTCGACGCGTGGCGATCTAACGCGTGGCGATACAACGCGTAACCGTGGCACGCATGCAGATCCACCGTGTAGCTATTACATGCGTAGTGATTTAACGCGTAGCGATACGACGAAAGAAGCGAAGAAATAACGTGTCGAATAAAAGATAGAAAGAGGTGGAGTAGCGTCAAGAATAATTAGTCATTTATGAGGCCGTAAGTGGGGCCACAAATCGGTCCCTCTCAAAGGGACGAGGACGCAAAGGGACGACGGTCGGCGTTATCTCAAAATTATTAATCATATCGTAACGCGTCGCACCTCGATGGGGAAAGAGAAGCGACCATGGAAAGGGAGAAAGAGGCAACGGCTCCATAGACTTATCTGACACCTTAATCAATTCCAAGTTATTAATTACGAAGGCAGCCCTTCGCGCTAGCTCTCGGCTCCTCCATCAAGCACGCGGCACACGTTTCAGAAAGCCACCGAGAGCATTGTCTGCGGCTTACAATGCAGTGTCAACAAGATCGAAGCCACGCTCTCTCGGCCAACAGGGTCATTAATAATTATTAAACTGCGAATGCTCGTGCGAGTACATGCTTTTTTTATCATTTCGCCAATAGACACGTTTCAGATTTAACGCGTTCGTTCTTAACTCTTTCATAATCTGGGACGAAAACGCGCTCGTGCCGCGTTTTAAAGAGCAATTAATTCGCCTGAACGAGATTTTCCATAATCTTTGTTTATTTAACCTTCGTTGCGATGATGCAAATTCGGGTTAAGAAGACGAGATGTCGTTTCGTTGCAACGATCCGAAGAAACTTCTCCGCAACGATGGAAACCATTCTCAGCGTGTCCAGGGGAGCAATAAAAAAGGTAGCTTCTTTCGATAGAAGTTGAGCGATCGTCTATGCAAATACCTAATCCTTTCGCAGATCCATCCAGGTGACGTTGACGGATTGGTGCAGGACTTTGTTCGCAGGCAGCTTGAACAGATTGCAATCCACGACACCATTTGTTTCCTCCCCTTGAAGGCGCGAAAATGTTCCTGCCTTCGAGTCGAGACCGATTAACGGCTACACTTTAATAGCTAATGAAGAGAATGAAAACTGGATGACAGTCTGTTTGTGCGATTAAAAAAAAGAAAAACCTCGAACGAGATCTGGCAAGAAGAAAATTATATTCTATTTCACTTTTATTCGTATTAATATTAATTACGTGGATTTTCGACTAACCTCTTCTCTACTCGGAGAAAGAATTTGAAACTGTTCTATAAATTCTCACGAACGAAAAAGATGAATGAAACTCGATAATCGCTGCGACGAGAAAAAAGGGGTCCGCAAAATTAATCACCCAGAGGCACGAGCAAAGACAATGCCACTTGTTCGGAAAAATATTTTCCACCTTTCCCTACCTCGGTCAAGGGTGAAGTTTCTACAATGAAATAGGATCAACACGTTTATATAACGAATGTTCCGCGAAAGCGAAATCTTCTCTTGACCTTCTTGCTACCGGAATAAACTAGAAATAAATTATTTATTACGGTTTTAACGATCGCCTCAAGATACAACGCGGAGCAAAAGGGTTAAATACTTAACAGAGGAGAATTGTCCAAAACCTAATGACCACTTGTTTCAGGTTTTCACACCCCTTTGGTCCACAGCGAAATCAAGCGTGACATGACACACGCTGTAATCCGCGCAAAGGGTTGATCCCAGTTTAGCCGGCTGTCCGTAAACCGTGGAACCCGCTCGACTTAAGCCCCAGCAAATTTGAATCCGTCAATCTTGAGCATCCAAGAGGAAGCATATAATCAGCCTGCGTATCCGTCCGGGTATTAAAAGCTTTTTTTCGTTGCACCAGTGTTGGAAAGATTTAACTTCAATTCCGAGGTAGGTTTAATTCGACTTGATACGGAAAAACTAACAAAGTAATCTAATCGTGTCTCTTTAATTTCTTGGAAAAGTTATAATAAAGTATTTTTGCAATATATTTAAGTTCCCTTTTTTTTTAGGATGTACAGAGTGACTTTTCTCTAAAGGCGATAAATCATTCGAAGGTGAGTAAAAGTTCTCGATCTTCGTTCGAGTGGGCAATTAAGCGACCGAAGACGCGAGTCCAAGTCGAGAAACGATGTCGAAGGAAAACGGGGTCGAAGAGGGATAGGAGAAGACGAAATTGCGGCGCGACCGATGAGCCTCGAATAAGGCGAAACGGTATTAAGACGGCGGGGATGCTTTCCTCGAGGCTGATGTATCATTTGCCGGCGGGTCGTTAAGCGGTTTCAATTAGTTTTCCACGTTGCTCCTGGCCCACCATCCACGTGAGGATGGGGCAGGCTAGCGCAGCCCTTAATCGCGCAGTCCAGTTTTTTCTCATAATTAGGAAAAGCTCGTTAATGCGCCCCTACGTCTCTCCCTCGTCTCTCCTTCTCCTTTTCCATTTCTCTTCCAGCTTTCTCGCTTACTTACCCTTCTATCCTCGCCAATATCTAGGATTTTCAGTTTTTTCTTTAACTTCAATGGAGTAAAATTCGATAGCACGATATTTCCTTCGGTATTAATTAAACAAATTAACGTGAAATAGAGTAATTTATGGGAAGAGGAATAATAATATTGTGATATTAGCTCCGGTATAAATATCGGTATATTGCGTGAAGTAACAATTAGAGCCATCTAGCGTTACATTATTGCTTCAAGGAAATCCATACTTATCCGGAAAGAATTATCCTAGCCACGATATAACAAGGTCGTAAATCCTTGTCAAGCCACACCTTCTGTTTTAAGATTTCATTCCAATACATTTCACAGCTCTGATTCCAGTTCCTTGTATTTCCGAAATCGACATTCAGATTTCTCGCATCTTGGCTTCTCAAAATTTTACGACCTCGCTATATCGCACTGGAGATTATATAAATTTCACTCACCGAATGAAGGATCTCCAACTGTCCAAGAAGCTTTTCTCCACGATGTAAAATACTTTTTCTGGATCTTCGCACTTCAATATCTCGCTTCTGTTTCTGCCATGATACAAATCGTTCAGCTCGTCCTTCTGTTGCTTCGCTTTTATCTTGTCATCCTTCTTTGCCTTCTGTGCATTCTCCATTTTTTCCTATTATCGAATAACGTTATGCATGTAATAACTGAGTACCTTCTTGTTTTAATCTGTATAGTTTAACGTACCTCGCATATGGAGCACGACGAAGAACCAATAGAGTACTCCTTAGACTCTGGAAAATATTTTCTGAGAATCATCCAAGCTTCCCGAGGTACTACTTTCCTAGAAGAGTCCGGTGTTTTCAGCGAATTATGTTCGCAAAGTAAATCTTCGTTAAAATAAATTATGATTTCGTGTTCTTCGCCGTCTCCTGCTTCCTTCAATCTATCGTTTTCTTTGCTTGTACTTTTACTGACTTGTGGACCGTTCCGATTCTGGCACTCCTCTTTTTCTATTTCTTGTTCCATGCTGTCCATAAATTTTTCCATTGCAAGTCTTCGCCAGGATTTTAACGAATCAGCACCCACTATGTAACTGGTATCGATCCTGTAACCGTACAGAATTTATATTTATCTCTTACATATCGCAATATACTTGCTGCTGTAATAAATTAGATACTTACGACTCCTTAAAGTTGCGTATAAGTTCGCTAACTTCTTTGTAATCGCGTTCAAGCGACATTTTAAAACGGAGCAACTTGTATCTTCGTTTTACACATACTTCGCACAGAGAAGTTTCGTCTAGTCGCGGCCCTCCTCGATATTTATCGTACAACAAATTTGCAGCTGACACTGGCATACATTTAGCACGGTTCACCTTCAAGGGATCCAATCGATGATGCGAACACATTAAGGTAGAATTGTCGATTGGCGGTACCCCATCGATGGACGAGTGTCCATTGAGCCACTTTGATAACCAGTCGCTTGGAATCCACTGATACTTCTCCCAGGAAACCGCGTTAGAAATAATATTATACACATCTATGACCAGTTGCCTCTTTAAGTTTTGATCTTCGATTTCTTTTAACTGAATAAAATGAAACATTACATGTAATACTTTGCAGTCAGCATGTTGTATATCAAGTTTAACTCGTATACGTACCTTTTCTTGCTGAATAGCCAGTAGACTTAACTCGTACTTCACATTTTCTTGTCTCACCAAATCGCGTAACGTAGAACTCACTTCCCAACTCTCAAACTCCATCTGCGAAATAGTTTAAAGCGTTAGAAGTGTGAGCGAAGCGGTAAAGGAAGCATAACGTACCTCTTCATAGAAATCACGTTCACCGCAACTCATAGCTCTATGTGCAGCGCCATTTAATCGCTTGTAGTCTATCCTCCTGCCTCGTGTAAAAGATTTCTTTGTCTGTGCTTCGTGTTGGTCTTCTTTGTTATCAGATTCGTAATGTTTGCCATTTAGTTCGTCGAGTGTACAGTTTACTCTCGCAGGCATTATCTGATCCTTCTCAGTGAATGCTTCTGAAATTACATCTTCCATTTTGTTTTCTTCGTCAGACTTCAGTACTTGTTCAGAGCTATTCGATTCGGAGCTAGAAGTTGGTTCATCTTTACGTTTTCCTTCGTCTGTAGTATCGTTATTACTGTTAGCTTCCACTTCCACTTTCTTCCTACTCCTTTTGGTATTTGCCCTCCATTCGGAAGTGACCCTTTTGTAAACCAACATGTAGGCGGTATTGGAAGAAAGAAAACCTTTTGGTATACGTCCCCGTTTTATAACTTTTGCGTTATCTGTAACATACAACGTTTCATCGTATAATTTATCGAAGAAAAATTTATAAACGGGTACTGTAACATTCTGTCTCACCGTTGACGCCATCCTCGATTCTCTTATTCTGCATTTTTTCAACTTTATCGTCGCTAAACTGGTACCATTCTCCGTTAGAATTACATATATTTGCAATGTAGTGACCCGAATGCGCCGACGGACCTTTATGACTCAAAACCGCGACTAGGCTGTACAAATGAGTTTGTGGTGGACACCGTACGTGTTCAGACATATCGAGATCTTCCGGAAATTGTATAAAAGAGTTCAGCTTCCTTTTCTGTCCAGAATCCCTATTATAGAAAACAATCCACGGTGCTAATATAAAAACTAATAGATAATAAGGGTGCAACAAGGAAAAGGAAACTAAACATTATACCTATGAAACACAAAACGCATCAATTGTATGTTCAATGTTTCCGGAAGAGATTCCAAACGTATGAATCGACGAGCATCCTTCTTATCGTTGCATGTAACACAATGATACTGATTCGGACCAGTCAGTTGTTCCACAGACAAGTATTTCTCTATCGCTTCTTTCAATGTGGCTGCTAGCTGCAGATCCAATTCGTAGAATGTAGTAGACGTTGGGTATTCGGTACCGCATTTCGAGCAGCTGCATCAAACACAAACATTGCGGTTATTCGGACAGAATTAATTTCTCTCGGTCAGATCAGTTGATCGCACCAGTCATCGCAGCGAGCAACGTGTCCTACCATGTTCTCATCGTCAAGATCATCAGCATCATCATCGTTTAGGACAATTCTCATTTGTTTTCCACTTCAGAAAACCCACCAATTGATATAGCTGTATTTTCCTTGAGTCAGCCTCTGCAGCATCTGCTTCAGTTCTGCGTTTTGCTGCAATTTCCCTTCGATATGGCAGAGAAGTAGCTTGGAGAATTCCTGTGCATCCTGCTGAGTTCTAGTATCCAAAGACAACGCAATGGCAAGACTCATTGGATCGAGTAGACGTTGATTTCCGAATTGCATCATTGCAAATATGTATTGCAACTGTCCAACCGCCGTCACAGGATGGTATGGTCCTCCTGTTGACCTAGCTTGAGCCAATGCTTCCTTTTCCTCTGGATCTTCTGTGATGTTCCATTTGTATATTATCCTTCTACGAAATCAAATTCACTTCTGTAAATATGCTTATGCATAAATTGAGTTTGAAACAAATATTAATAATGTCATTGAATATATACCTCATGTCTTCATTGTGAAACCACATTTGAATTAAACTGTTAACATAACAAGTAGCACCTAGATTTTTTAAACCAACATATTGCGTAGGATCTCGTAATTCTGATAAAGAACTTTCCAAGGATACTACTTCTGCTGGTTGTGATTTTATATATTTTTCTTCCCCCAGTCCAGTTAGACACTGAGGATTATTTGTACAATTACGTCTGAAAGTAATACATACATTTTAGAATATCAGGTTGATAATATTAAAACATCTGTTTTGAATTTGTATGAAACTTACTTGCAATTTTTACATGCTTTTAAACCTATTCTATAAGCACTTTCCAAATGTATCCTTCCAATTTGCTCCAATTCCACATTCTCCATCCAAACCCATGCCAATTTATCTAAATCAGTCTTTTTCGTTGGTGGCATTTCTACCTGGAACATTTAACAATAATAATATTTATTCCACTTCATCCTTGCAATCAGGAATGAAAATTTGATTTATGATAATCATAACATAATAAATGCTGACGCTTTCTATCTTCTTATCATAAAAGCTAAATCGAAATCCAAAAACTAAGTCTAAAGTAGCAATATAATACCATAATACTATATTAATTTCTGTGATTTATTTTCTTATTTCCTTTTTTTAAGATCATAATTTCTAGTTTAAAAATCCATAACCTTTCTCTCATTATATTTTATATTAACTATATTAAATAAACAAGTAACAATAAAACACTTTGAAATACAATATGTATTTTATTTTGATTACCATTATCATGTTTTTCTAAAACTTTATTTAAAAATTATATTAAATATACAAGCGATATTCCTACAACTGACTACTACATGTTTTATTTCGCGCCATGAGAAAGTCACAACTCAATCGCGAAATAAAAATGAGACGAAAGTGGCACATTGAAGAATCGATTTCAGTACAATTTTATGATCGATAATAACGATATAATAATAAACTCGAGTGATACATCAGTTAATAACAATTATCTAATAATCAAAACGGTTCGAATAATTGAAAAATCGAAGGTTGTATACTTACACGAAACTATCGTTCGTTCCCGACCGTTGAGGTTATCGAAAACGCCGCAGTAAACGTTGCAACGTTCTATTCTTTTCCTATACCATTATTCGAAGGTAAAGGAACCTTATCACGTTTGCGAATTACACTGAACACGAATTTTTATCAATACTTTTTGTAAAGAGGTAAAAAAGTATTATCAAAACACTCTAACCGCTTGATGTACACTGATCGCCATATGCAATCGGCTTTAACCCAAAGCGCGCATCAAATCAATCGTTAAATAAGTTTTTAAGTTTATTAAAATCCCTTATTTGTTGAATATTTCATAATAACGTTTATTAAAATGGAAGGATAATTTTTTTGTAAAAAGTGTAAAATATACTTTATTATTAATGTATGCCTGCACAAGAAATAGTTTTTTGTATTATTTAGTCTGTTAACATGCAAAAACTTACTAAAAATATTAATTTTTTCAGGAAACACTTTGTGCATATTTTTATAATTCAGTATATACATGTATCATGAAGATGTCTGAAGGCAAAATAGGTAGTTATTCCTCATAGAAACAGAAGGATAGAAAATAATGAATAATCAGTAAAAACCACTAATTTTAATTTCAGTTTGCAGTGATATTCTTTTGGAATTTTTAGAAGTAGCATTCAATCACATTTTGTTCTTCAGAAATTTATATCCCAAGGAAATTTTTACAAAGAAAAAGATATATAGTATCACGGTATACGTATCAGAGCATCCAGAACTTAATGAGTATCTAAAAAATGTTCTAAGTGCAATAAGAGAATTGATAAGAGAAAATGATAGCAGCATTAAAGCAATCAATCTTGTATTTTATAACAAAAATAAGCAACCAATCGAGAAGTTCATTTTTGACCTAGTTAAGCTCCAAACAAATAGCACAGAGTACATATTTTAATTAAGCTAGTTATTAACAAAAATAAGAGACTATAATTCTGGTATAATTCTGTCCTTTTTTTGCAGGAAAGATCCGTATTACTTGAGAACAGAAGAAGCACTCAGAACAATTTGTTTGAAACTTTCCATGTGCGAGGCATATTTAAAACCATTACCAGAGGACTCAACTTTTTCCATCGAAATACAAACATATGAAACTGCACATGTAGCTTTAAATGAAAATCCTCGTTGTGAAGACTTTCCTTGGATTATTAATGAAGCTGCTTTGGAAATGACGGACAAAACTTTACTTCCATTGAAAACTATTAATACGGATTGCTTACATCTACAGATGTATGTTTTGGAAAATCAGAATTGTAAAATCGAAAATTGATTTTAATTAAAAAGCTGCTGTGTTCAACACATCTGAATAAAATTCTGGATTTTTTACAAATAAAACCATAAACTGAAAGTAGGAGTGCAGTTCTTGCATTTCTTTAATCGTCAGATTGAGGTAAGCATTTATTGCTTTTTCACTCAGTGTGGTGGATTATTAAACACATTATCTCATTTTTTTAGTTAATAATAATCTTATATTTATTGTGTTACAGAATTTGGGAAGTATTTCATCCAATGAATCTAACCAATCTTGCAACACAACCAAGTGACATAATGGAAAAATTAACAACAAAAATTCCTCATAAATTTAATATATTATATTTTTAAATATTGTATTAGATCATGCGTTTTCAATATATTTATAATTTGTCTATAGTAAAAGAAAAAATAAATTTTAAATAAAAGGAATATATATATATATAATAATTGCAATTTTTGCATAAAGTAAAGCATTTTCAAGTGTTGATGATGTTCAGAAATTATTCTCCTGGTACGATTACTAACATTATTGTAATAAGTAGTGGAACACCCCTATATCTACTAGTGGAACTATCCATACAGCGTCATTTAACAGTAGACCTCTGAACTATGATGAACTCGTGCAACATACCAACCGAATTCTGTCGGTAATTAATTAATTACACTTCAGTGGTAATATACCATCACTGCTGATGGTAGCGCTACCTAGCAGTGATACGTAGAACTTTAACTTAATGTCGTTCACATTAGGCTATTTTGACAGGTACTTGCCTAATCTGAAAGCCCCTTTATTGAGGGTCGCAGCAGCGCCATCTAGCGGCGTCACACGGAACTACAACGTCGGAATTGATATTGTACTTTCACGCGCCACCGCTAGATGGCGCTGCGACGGACCTACATAAAGGGGTGTTCAGATTAGGCAACTGACAGTCAAAATAGCCTAATATGAACGTCATTTAATTAAAGTTCCACCTACCGCCGCTAGATGGCGCTGCGTCATAAGGGGCGTTCAGATTAGGCAACTACCAGTCAAAATAGCCTAATATGAACGTCATTTAATTAAAGTTCCGTGTATCGCCGCTAGATGGCGCTGCGGCATAAGGGGCCGTTCAGATTAGGCAAGTTCGTGCCAAAATAGCCTAATGTGAACGATATTTAATACAGAGGAAGAAGGCAATCGTCCGATTTATGTACTCGTCACATTTTCTTCCATAACTTGCAGTTTTCTTCAACTCTTTAGAAGCAAATCAATTGCTACATTATTTTTATTCTCACAACAGATTTTTACGAGCTTTTTACAAGATCCTGTACTACAGTGCACACTAATATGTACACATTACTATGTTAATTGCGTCCTAGAATTAAGTGTTAATAATGTATCTATGTATTAATAAAAAATGTATATTAAGTTATTTGATGTACAAAAGCGTTTGAAAATAAATTTGAATAAAAAAATGTATTTGCGTATTTACTTATTTACAAATCCCGTCATTCCGATCCCCAGAAATTGTCCCAAATTTTAAAAAATAAAAAATAAAAAACAAAATATTGAGAGTTTGTATGTACCAGGAGAATATGTATTATGAGGAGGTATACTTTGTGCATCATGGAATTTTTATAACTTCATTTCAAGAATTTTCGGGGCGCGATTTTTGATATTCCACCCATTTTGAAAATTTGTATCAGGAGAACATAAGTTGCGAGGAGGTATTCTTCGTGCCACTTCTTGGAATTTTCATGACGTTAAATTCCAAGAATTCCCGGGCGGAATTTTTGAAAGTCCACTGACCAATTTTGAAAATTTGTATCAGGAGAACATGAGTTGCGAGGAGGTATCCCTCGTGCCACTTCCTGGAAATCTGATGACGTCAAATTCCAAGAATTCCCGGGCGGGATTTTTGAAAGTCCGCCGACCGATTTTGGAAATTTGTATCAGGAGAACATAAGTTGTGAGGAGGTATTCTTCGTGCCACTTCTTGGAATTTTGATGACGTCAAATTCCAAGAATTCCCGGGCGGGATTTTTCAAATTCCACGGACCGATTTTGGAAATTTGTATCAGGAGAACATAAGTTGTGAGGACTTCCTGGAATTTTCGTGACGTCAAATTCCAAGAATTCCCGGGCGGAATTTTTGAAAGTCCAGTGACCGATTTTGGAAATTTGTATCAGGAGAACATAAGTTGCGAGGAGGTATTCGTGCCACTTCTTGGAATTTTGATGACGTCAAATTCCAAGAATTCCCGAGCGAAATTTTTCAAATTCCACCGACCGATTTTGAAAATTTGTATCAGGAGAACATAAATTGCGAGGAGGTATTCGTGCTACTTCTAGGAATTTTGGTGACGTCAAATTCCTGGAATTCTCATGTTCTCTTGATACAAATTCTCTCTTTTAAATATGTAAATTTTTATTCTACTGGGTTTTTTGGGTAAGAATAAATACACAATGGTTGTTGATAAATTTTTCTTTATTTTCACCACTTTTCATACAGTGCATAACTTAATTAAACTCATTGTTTAATCACTTAATTACTAATTTGTGGAATGCCCGTACTATGCAGGAGGAATTAATCACTGGACCTTGACTCCTTTTTTTTTTTTTTTTTTTTTTTTTTTTTTTTTTTTTTTTTTTTTTTTTAACGTGGGGGAAATCTTCGAAAGATACCCCGCGCCCCTGGGGGAGGGCACGGGGTTATGCCGGATTCTTACCGGCTAAAACCCCCACGGTGGTCCTTTCCCGACGCGTGAGGGGGCCCCAGGAACTCTAGAAGAACACGACTAGGGCCCCCGCGTCTTTGAACATCATCCCGGGGGAGGCCGGAAGGGCCACCCCCATAATACCAAACTAATCTTTACGGCGGTGCCCGGACCACCGAGGCAACCGCCGTCCCCCCCGGGGCAGCGTGCAGGGCGTCCTGGGCCACCACCGGCACCCTTGGGGGAGGGCGCGGGGTTATGTGGGATTCTTAGGCACTAAAACCCCCACGGTCGCCCTCAAATGACACATTAGGGGCCCCGGGAACTTCGTGGAAAACAACCGGGACTCCCGCGCCTTGCTCTTTCAAGCCCTTTCCGGGGGGAAATCACAAGACCTCCCTCCGACAAAACAAACTAATCTTTACGGCGGTGCCCGGACCACCGAGGCACCGCCGTCCCCCCAGGGGCAGTGTGCAAGGCGCCCTGGGCCCCCACCCAGGACGCCACTGCGCCTGAATCTTGACCCCCTGCGCAGTCTTAAACCGTAAAAGATAGACATGAGCAGCAAATTTTTACAAAGAAAGTAATCAAAGAAAAAGTAGACGAAGCACCGACAATGATGACGTAATTAGTTTTTACATATTCCTTAAAAAGTGTTCCTTAATAAGAGTTTTATTGTACTATCATTATAAGAGTACAGATATAATATTTTTCTGCCTTGTTTTCGAGCATGCATACGTCTCAGCGTAGCTCACGGACATGTTTCTGCGTTAAAATATGATAGTACAATAATTACAACATAATAGTACAACTGTTATCATCTATTGGTCAATAACGGTACTAGCGCCATCTTGCGATTGGTGTTACGGAACTGCTCCTGATAGGAGGATCACAGAACATCAGAAGAGGTATACGCAGCGGGCCTCCTGATAAGCTCTGCGCATGACCAATCGAAGCAAACTCGCTCCGCCCACTCAATAGAGAGATCGTGCGTAGTCGAAGAAGAGTGGCTCCGCCTATCCAGCATGGCCTTCTTCCCCCGGTCGGTATAATGGTTACCATCTGTAAAAAGAAATAGCATTGAGAACTCGAGGAATTTATCGAGGGTAATTGGAAGGTAAGTTCAAAGTGATATCAGTAAATTATCGACATGTTGACACTCGAATGTCCTGATGGTAAATGATCGATCTCGTCGATAAATATTCACTTATTAAACTTTGACCAAACGCTGTTAGATCGCGTGGTAACCCGTATTAGAACGATTTATATATTTTTATATGTAACGAATCTCCAAGTTAATTAATACTTTCACAACGTACAAAAGTTGAATATTATTACTTTCCAAAATGTATTACTATCTTTTAGATCGAAAAATTTGATATTTTATGTACCTGTACAGAAACAGTATAGGTGGCGGTGTCTAGCGGCGGGCTTTGGCACTGACAGAATAAAGCTCGCCGCTAGATGGTAATAGTGGTTATTTTTTTTAGAGATAGCGCGCGTAAATATAAATTTTGGAGAACGTATTAAAGCGAGATTTCTCGAATACTTTTTATTCGTTATTTTACAGTAAATTGTTATTTAGTTTTTGTTACAAAGTGACCAGTTTGCTCTTAAAATTAAGTATTTGTCAGAGTAAAACACGAAGCGATATTAAAAAATGATCTATGTGTTCGCTAGAATGAAATTACAAGTTCAACGGTTTGTCAAAATGTACCAAATTAGTTCAGAAAATGAAATGTATTTGAGCCTATCAGTGTCTATAAAGACCCGTACTTTTTTAAAAGACATTAGTCCACCGAACAAACAAACGACTACGTTCGGAGGAGTCGGAGATGCCGACTGAACGTAGTCGTTCGATTACCGCGGCTTAAAACCGTACGCTAAGTGATATATTCGAGAGTTATCGTTGCGCACGAAAAAGAGGGGAAGGGTTCGTGAAAATTCCCGGGCTAACTCGATCGAGAAGATTATTGCAAAAGAAGAAAAGAATGTTTCGGCTTACCTAACGTGCAGGATTACTCTTCGCTTGGGCGTTCTCCGATTCCGTAATGGAGCGAAAGTAAAGGCGAGGCTTACGTTCGCTATGACGGCCGAGCAATTATCGTTCCACCTGTGCTGCTGGTTGGATTTCATCTCCCGAAACACGTTCTGGTTTCAAGGCCAAGGACACAGGCGAGTAGTAGAGGGAGGTCAGTGTTCGGCGACGTCGATCTTCCTCTCTGCCTCGTCAGCATACCTTCTGCATCTATTGACACGAAACTTTAGAAAAAAAGGCGAAAAGAAATCGTGATCAACGTCCATCGAACCATCGGCGACACGTAAAACCGATCCAAGACATCCGATAGACATTAAATTGTTCGATAGGACGTTGACGAGAAAATTAACTGAATTATTTCTGAAGAGAGCTGTAATCTCGTTAATTGAAAGATTGTATGGATATCAAATTTTTGATAAACGCAGCAAGAGTTAGGTAATCGAGAAAATCATAATCGACGATCTGACAATAAACGAGACGATACGAATTTTCAAGGAAACGGAAGAGGAAGTAAATAAAAATATCCGAACAAGTGGTTCAAAACGACTAGCGCGAAGAAAATTATCCACTTGATAGGTTGCTGCATCTCCCGGCGTATTTGTTTACCGCCGCAGTTGGCTTTAATTAAGCTGGATATTTCTGTCGATTCCCTTTGCTTCGTTTAAGTTCATTGTCACTCGCGTACTTGGCTTTTGTTATCGCAGAAAAATGATATTTCGAAAGAAGAGGCAATAAACGTTAAGTGGTGTGAATCATACAGGAAGTTACGCGCGTCGTAACAAATTAATCTCCCAGCGCATATGCGCCTAAGAAAAGAGATGATTTAAGGGATGATTAATGTATCGATCATTTTAATCCGGTTTAATTTAATGTGTCACACGCTGATCCTCCAAGAGACACCGACGATCAGCTGGAATCTTCGATCCAAGGTCTGTTCGACTAAACGAAAGAAAATCCGTTTCTACCACTTCCGCTTCATTGTATTTGCAGATATTTTCTTTGCAATACATCGCTGCAATCCCATTCTATTCCTGTCACTTAAAATACAACGGATCACGGTACAACGCGAGATTTATTCAATTTTTAATCCTCCGACGTCGAAGAGTCAACTTTAACCATTGCGAGATAGATTTCGTCTAACAGATTTTGACGGAACCAAATAGTTTTATAGGACAGAATTTCTATCAGATTGTTCGATTTAATTGCGACAAGATCAACAATAATTATCTAAAGATACAAGTTCTTCGTACATCGTATTGTTTCCGAAACACTCAAGCGATAAGAATTAACTTCGACATGTTTGTCAAAAAATAAACGAAATTTTCCCAAGTGTCTCGCGAAATCTGTTCGATCTAATTCATCGATTTGTCTACGCACGATCGATAAAACAAATCGTTAACTTATCTGAAGGATTAATGGTATCGAGTTCCATCAAAAAGGTTCTTATCTTTCTCAGTTTCTTTTCTTGTCTGGACGGCCAGTTCGATCGGCGGAATCGTCAACCTCCCACGCATTTCGAGCGGTCGTCTCGTTCGCGAGACGCTCGGACGAACAGATCGCGTTACGCAATCGATTCCTTTATCTGTCGGAATTCACCGACCTCATATACGATTTCGCGCGATCTCGCGCCGCCAGAAACGGAATATCGCGACGCGGCCGCGGATGTGAATGGTCCTCGCGACGATCGTCAACGAAGAAAGCCGCATCTGTAACCGCAGCGAATAAAACCAGACCTGCATTCGGTGGATAACGAGTCTACGAGTGGCTGTTACATCGACTGTAACCGAGTGTCGTTCATCGTAGACGAGGTTGCTTACGAAGGGCCAATTATCGTTCCAGACTTAGACGCAAGGTTAGACAGTTGGAGAAGTGCTACTCGAATTCGATCTTGGGAAGAGTCGAAAGCTAGAAGAGGATCGCAAATGACAAGAATTTCGAAGCATCTTGAACAGACGACTGGAAAATTAGAGAACTCGAACACCTTACTAGACTCGAAAGCTGAGAGAAGAGTCCTTAAATTTTTGGAGAGATTCAGCATCGAAATGTTATCGTTTAGAAATTTAGGACCGGTTTAAAGAAAACGTTGAAAAATAGTTTCTTGGATTCGAGGGTTCCTGCGAAAATTTTGTTACGATCGAAATGAATGGCAATTTTCAGGCAGGCTCGAAAGACCGAGTTTAAAAGTTTTCTTCTCGAACACATGGTGAGATGAATATATGGGAGATAGAGGAATGCGAGAACAAAGGTTGCTGCGAGTTGAAAAAGGTTCCTTGCTCGTTGTTGAAAAAAATCTTGCTCGTTTTCTTCGGGGACGTTTGGTTGATGAGCTTTTTTCTGGGCATGTGGGAAATTATGGAACGAACTTGGGAACTCGAGTAGAAGAAGGGACACCGAGTGTATCCTAAGCTCCCCTAATAGGCATTTATAAGTCTTGTATCTCTGTGATATCGCACTTCGTAAAACTTCTCGTCGAAGAAGAGCAGAGAAGGAAATAATATACTCGTTAGTTCGTAAAGCGCGAGTCGAGTGAGCAAGAAAGAACGATAAAAATGAGTATCGTGAACGGAGTAAATAATTCGAATGGACACGTGGATGGACATTCGGAGAACAAGGTAAACTCTTATCGATATATTTTCCGTCAAGTTCGATATAATAAAGAAACGATTCTTTATCGACTTTCCCTCGATTTAAGCGAATTTCTATGTAACTGATTAGTTTTTCCGGTAAACGCAGCTTGCACTAATTTATCGGTTATCGGATCTTAATTATGGTTTAAGGTCGCGTTCGAAACATTTCTAACAATTTGACAAAATTAACACGATAGCAACGTTGTTTCGACTCGTCGCTGTTCGTTTTCAAAATACCACGAAAATGTATTATAATGCTTTTTCAGTCGCTTCGCGGCAATTCGAAACGTCGAAACAAAGTAGAGGTCGAACATTATCGTAACTCGGTTACGTAAATTAATTTATAATCTTGGAGAAGCGATAAAGTAACTCGAGAACGAAGTGTCTTTTCGATAATCGACTGTCACAAATTGATTATTTTTCTATTTGTTGCCGGTCTTTAGATGGAACCAAACACCGAGGAGGAAAAAAGACGAGAAAAAAGAGGGGTCATGTATCAGGTAATATTATCTCATTAACAATCATAAGTCGCTCCAATTCGTTTACCAAAGTTTTATCGATTACGCAGTAGCGACAGATTCTGAGTCACGATTTGCAAATCTGTTTTGCACCAACAATTATCGCGCGTTGTAAATTGCGTTTATCTCCGTCGAACTCGAATAACAGAATCTGTAGACATACAGTAAGAAATAGAATTAAAATCTTCTGACTAGGCGGAGATAACTGATAGATAATTAACCGATAATAGTTCGGATTTTTTATCAGAATTGCGAACGAACATTGAAACTTAGTCGACGATCAAAATACTTTGCATCGAAACGAAAGTATTTCTATCACGAAATTGCATCGCTACACGTTGTATTATCACGAGATAGATCGTCACGCGACCGAGTCGTTTAGAAGAAAAATCTGTACGATTTGAATTTCATAATTTTCCAACATCAGCATTGCAAAACGTACGGTTCAAAAGATTATATTTTTTAATCGTGTAAGCAAATGTTTGGAAGGATATTTAAAGAGGTCTCTCTCCTTTCGTAACTGCAGCGAAAAAGTCTGATAACGTTATTTTTATGGAAACCAGATAAGTGCTCGAGTACTACGAGAACGTTAATCCCTGGTAGCTATCTGTTTTTTACGGCGTACCGAAACTGATTTTTGCGAGACTTACGTTGATCTAATAATGAAACGAGAGATAGTTCGTTATCGATGTCTCGAAAGGGTTTGTGCACAGGTTACACTATTCGCGAATGAACTCATTGATACAGAGAAAGGGAAAGCTAAACAGTAAGTAAAGGAAAGAAATACGGGTCCAGGATCGACGTCGAACACCTTGTACCACATAATCGGAATATTTTCGTGTCCGTCGAAGAATTCAATGAATCTTAGGAAAATGGCATATTTCAAGCTTGCGTGAGACTTTACTAAGATCGTGTTACTAGCATTGGCGTCATTCGATGAGAAACGCGAAGGAACGAGAAAGAGGATCCTGTTGTATTGACTTACGTAAAAAATTCCAATCGTTGGCCTCTTATCTGCGCAATAAATTATAGGAGACGTTCAACAACCGTCACGGACGATTAAATATTTTTATTATTTTTCTCTCGACAATAAGTAGCCGCAACAAATATCGCGAGAAAAAAATTGTTTGATCGACAGGTTTCAGCGGTTGACGATATCGATTCGTGCATTAGTTTAATGGAAGCGCGATAACGTTCCATTAAACGTCCGACACTTTGCCTACCATCGGTTTACGAAGAATCAAAGGGAAGGTGAGCCTCTTTCAACAAAGCGAAGAGGAGTTATTGACCAGTTTCTTTTTTTATCCGAATGATCGGGTCGCATAACGCGGACGGAGAACGGTAAATTATGAATGTCGGTACGCACAAGCTTATTAGAAAGATTTGCGTAACCTGGAATACCATGATATTATCGAACGATTAACGTTGCTTTACGTAAACCTCGTGTGGCGACACTTCAAGGCTTAATTTAATTATTACCTGAGCGTATTGCTCGTCTTCCAAACCTTCGGCCCAAACCGGTTTCGATATTGGTCACTTGAGAACAGGGTGGTTTAAAAGAAAAAAAGAATCTCCCCAATCGAATCGCTCTTAGTCCATTTCGATGTTCTATCCCGTCGTATTTATCCGATTATTATTCATGAACGTTATTAAAGATCTATCGCTAACTCGTCAGAATATATTTTTTTCCTCTTACGTATTCCGAAGATAAACCATTTCGTGTAAGTTGTGCAAAAAATACTGATAAAAAGTAGCGCTATATATTTACGTTAAACGATTATCGCTACTACGTCCTGCAATTGTTGTAACGTCGGAATAATGCTATATTTATCAGCGCGTAATTCGTAATTACTCCATCGACGAGTTCGATTAGTCTTTCAAAGTCGGTGAGACCTGTTCATGCTAATTAGACTTTATAATCGAGATAATTATGGATTTAAAAGCAACTAACAGCAATCACGAAGACACAAAACTTTATGTAACATGGAAATTTTTCGATATTAACATGCGCGTGCATACGAAAAAAAGCGGTAAGGTCGAAAACGAATTAATAATGGTACCGAGACGCAGGCGTAGCCGTGAAACTATCTTAAACAATCACGGCAAAACGTATCACGGTGACAAATGTCAACGATGCGTAATCCTTATCTCAACACGTTAAACAACGTTCAATGAATTAACGTTGAAGTAAAAATGTTAACACCGTATAGCGACAGGTATACAAAATATTTATAGAAGAATTTGCTTTCAGATAATTATGTCCTTGTGCGCTAATTCCTCCGTGCTGGGTCCATCTATGGCCTTCGGTTACAGCGCGGTAGCGCTAGGACCACTGATGTCGGATACCAGCGAGGTGAAGATCGACAAGGTTCAAGCGAATTGGATAGGTCAGTGTGAATTTTCAAGCATTTCCAGAAAAGTACAATTAGTAAAAATTACCTTGAAGCAGCATCGCCACTGACGATCCAATTAATCCACAGCCACCGCCACGGCACTGGGTATTCCATTTGGTTGCATACTCTCCAGTTACACCATGAGATGCGGAAGAAAGCTGAGCCTTCTGATAACGTCCGTCCTATCCATCGTTGGCTGGATCGTCATCTACATGTCCGGCTCGTATAAACAAATCCTCGTTGGCAGAATAATTTCCGGACTCGCAACTGGCTCAGCTTCTGTACCTGCCACTGTTTATAGCGCAGAAGTTGCTTCTCCGAAGTGGAGAGCGACGATGGTCACGTGGACTAGCATCGCTATTGCCATCGGAGTTTTAATAGTATACATTTTTGGTTACGCATTCAAGGTGAGACCTGATTTATCGTTTCTTTCGAGTCTCAATGATCATTTTCAAACATACAACTTCTGACACGATTTCGTGATAGTATCGTGAAACGACACTTATCATAGATTTGAAGATTCAGTCATTTTCTATCTAACAATATCGGTAATCTTTATGCAATCATCGTTACCGACTTCCATCTATAAATAGATATGTCGTAAGTGGCGCGTTATAATACCTGTCTGCCATCGAATCTTGTCGAAAGAGTCTGAACAGAGTGACCGAACACGCGCAGTACACATATAATGAAACCATGAATCCACACAAGCTTCGAAGTGAAAAATCTGACGATCTTTCTTTCCCAAAGGACAACTGGCGAATGGTGGCTTTGATGTGCGCCCTGTTTCCCCTGGTCTCGGCCGTGTTAACCTTGGCGATCGTCCCAGAAACCCCGATCTGGTTACGAGACAGAGGTCGTCTAGACGAGGCTCTGCAGGTGTTGAAAAAGTTTCACGGTGTGCCAAAGGACGAGTCGCCACCGGCCCACGTGTACGAACAGCTGAGACAACGTCCACAAAAGAAGAAGCAGAATCTCTTGAAACATCTGTTAAAACGAAACGCCATGGTACCGTTCGCCATCATGGTGTCTTACTTCTTCTTCCAACAATTCTCCGGGATCTTCGTGGTGGTTTATTACGCCGTCAACATCATAGAGAACGCCGGGATCACCTTGGATCCGTACCTAGGAGCGGTCTTGATAGGTCTCACCAGGTTCGTCGGAAGCGTACTGGTGGCTTGCCTGTCGGGAAGATTCGGCAGGCGAATTCCGTCGATCGCCTCTGGTGCTGGAATGACCGTCTTCATGGGCGTACTGTCCGTTTATCTGCTCATCGACAGCACGGGGTACGCCATGAAGGATGGAGGGGTCGTGCCTGTCATTTGCGTGCTCATGTACATTTTCTCGAGCACCTTGGGTTTTCTGGTAGTACCGTTCGCCATGGTGGGCGAAGTTTATCCGTCGAAGGTTAAGGAAGTACTGACGGGACTCACCACGTGTATCGGATACATCTTCAGTTCCGTCATGGTGAAAACTTATCCGGACATGGAGGTCGCATTGGGCAGATACGGAGTCTTCATGTTTTTCACGATTCTGTCGTTCCTCGGTACCTTGTTCGTTTTCTTCTTCCTGCCCGAGACAAAGGGAAAAACGTTGGCCGAAATTGTGGACATGTTTTCAAAAAACGGAAAAGCCGCCGATCGGTCGGAGAGAGAGAAGATGATGGTCCTTAAAGACGCATCGGCGGCTGTGTAAAAATCCGATATTTCTTGGACCGATATTAATTGATACGAACATTTTCTTTTACGTCGATAGACAGTTGTCGACGATAAGCCTCGAACGGCAGCTGGGTCAATCTTGGCGCAGATGCACCTTCGTGGCAGTTCGTGTGTCTAAAAATGAAAATGAATCGAAGCATTAATCTACGCATTGGCTCGACAAGGATTTGAGTCTATCGCTCGAGAGTTGCGAGAACGAAATAAGCTTATCTTTTAGAGCGTTATACTTATCGTTCGAGGAATAGAAAAGAATAGGCGAGACGAAGAAAGTTATTGCGAACCAGAGGATATTAGATGCGATACATTGGTCGAGTGAAATATGAAAAGGCTCTTTCCAGCGAGCATCGCCTACTCCTGAAAACGAGAAAAATCGTTGTTAGAAGGAGAAAAAAATTCGATAAAAGAGATTGCGAAGGAGGAGACTCGAGTATCAACTAGTCTAAAAACAAGTGAAAAGTAAAAATACCAAGTTGTGCAAGAAATACCTGCCGTTTGTGTTCATTTACTTTTGTATCTTTTAAGAATAATCTACTAATTTGTCCTAGAATAACGTACAACTATACCTGACAATATTTTTCTATAGCTAACGAACACGTTAATTGTTAAACAGCGTAATCTTATATATATATATATATTGTTGTTATTCGAAGCTAACTATAATTATTTATAAATAAATTTTGTAACCACGGTCGAAGAGTGGTCGATTAAACATTTTGGTGCGGTAATCTAATTCGTAAATCATTTCTCGTCCTTGCATTATATCGAATCGTGCCAACAAACTTTATAAATGCAGAATTATTTTTCTTCCATTATTTGCACGTCTGTGTCAATATAGATACGAGCTAATCCTATTTGATAATAAATCAGACGCGCGATAAGAATGTCACGAGCGATTGTCATTCTTACTCGAGTAGTACTAATATTTTTTTATCGCAAAAAATAAGATCCTCTTAAGCTCCTCATAGAGTCTACTTTATCTCATAGAAATAATTTTCCTAGACCTCAAGTTCCAATTAAGCCTTGGAATGTTAGAATCTTTTCTACTTATGCCGCCATTTTGTAGGGAAGCTTATTTTGCTGGACATCGTACAAGACTTACACAGCAAAATTTCAAAAACTTTTCAAATTTTTGTCCACCTTTCCTGCGTATTTCGTGGAACGTTCTTGGCGCGTGCCGTCGTTGCTTACTAATCAAAATCATTCGCACGCGACCCGTGTCTTCGTTTACTGTAACGTGTTCGATTAACTATAAACCGATGATTAGAATTTTCGAATACTAGGAGGGAAAAGAAAAGAAAATAGGTGAACAATAAAACTGAATCGAATGAAAATTTCACTGTTCGCTTTTATTATTAAAATCTTAAATAATAAATTAACAAATGTCGTAACAATCAGGATAATTAAATAACAAACACAAAATAACATACGGATGTAAGAAGCATGAAACGAGGGATGGAGAATGTGATGATAAAAGGGGTAGGATGACGTCTCTAGCTACATATAATAATGACGATAATAATAGTAAGCCATAATAATAATAATAATAATAATAATAACATAATAATAATAATAATAAGAATCGATGCTCGATAGCAGAAATAAATTATTAACCGCGAGCATTTGTCCCGCGAGAAATAAACTTCTCTCTTTGAGAAAAGCTATTCAGTCGTGTAATAATTGAATATTACAAGTATAATTATTGATTCTCTCGTCTTACTCCAACTCGTTCGTTCTCTACCATTTCCCATCCCATATAGAACAATCACGTAACGCCACCGCGAGCAATTATTTTTTTCTAAAACGACGATGGCGAGGGTGGATCTTTAGGAATTTTTTTTCTAGCGAAACAAAAGGTTTTGAAGATAGAATAACGAAGGAAAGGAAGGAAGAAAGCAGGAGAACGAGAGAAGGAACAATATAAGAAGAAAACAAGAAATCGAAGGAGAGGAGAAAGAAAGAAACGTGCCGTGGATTACGCCGAGAAACGAGATTAACAAGTTAATAAGTTGTACGCTTCGGTGCGACGCAAACTTTTCGTTAACACTTTCGATCGATCGAACGATCGAAATATTATTTACGAGTCGAAATATTGATCCAATATCGTAAACAAATTTCACTGCTAATCTTCCGTTCGGATAACGAAAGAGATAACAAGTAGAACCGTGACGAGACCAGGCCGATCCTGAACCGTACTCGAAAACGCTACTAATTTCGTATAAAACTCAAACAATATCGACTCGTCACGATTCTTACGATAAACGCGCGTATGCACCGAAATTCGCTCGACCGGAATCGATGTCCTTTGAACTCGATATAATACTAAAGTTTCCCGATTCCAGAACGGCGAATAATATTGGATCAATATCGGCACCGACATTGGTCGAGTATTCGAAATACCGCGAACGATACATGTCGAAAGCTGCGCGCGCATTTAGCCGATCGCGGAAACGGTATCGCGAGTCGCTTCGTTCTCGAAAATTTTCTTCCTTTATCTCGCGATCGAACAACCGATCGAACAACGAACGAACGAAAATCGTCTCGACCCATATCGTCTAGGCTTGCCGCTCACGTTCTCGTGTCTCGTCTTTCGAACGAGTACATTATCGGATGACAGTCGGTACGTGATCGTTGGATCAACAGAAAATTCGTGGGACTCGGCGATTTCCGATCCCTGGATCTCGATAGGAACCGTGAATCACCGTGCTCGATTCGTCACGTTCCTTCGGAATCGATCGATTACGAGAAAAAAAAAGATAGAAACGATAAAATCGCGTCGATCAACATAGGATCGGTTTCGAAGGAACTATCGTCGTATTTGTTCGTTCTTGGAAAACTACACATTTTTTTCTCTACTTAGATCGCGTAATTCGTGTAACGAAGAGTAACTTAGCCTCGTAGCTTATTTCTAACGAAAGGAAATCTATTGAAACTTTTCTTTCGAATTCGACTCCGATAAAAGGACCGACGATCATTCGATAAAACGACGCCTCTTCTATTTTACGTACCTTAGCTATATCCGTAGTCGATAAAGAAGTAAGAAGATGAACGGCAAGACTCGATTTACCTAATAAAAGCGTTCAGCTAAAAAACAACAGTAGTGCTCTCTGGCAGCATCTGACCGTAGTGTCAGTCCCTCTTCGATTCAGTCCAAGTTTTCTCTCCTGATTACGCGGCTGATCGTCTTCGATATGCTTGAAGGGTGCGGGTTGCGGGGCTCGAGGGATGCAGGGGGGAGAATAGTCGTCGCGGTTCGACGGACGATCAACAATTAGCTAGCTTAAGCGTCTAGTAATGTCAGTAAAGCTCTCGTTGCCGTGGAAGCGTCGAATCCTCGTCGTAGCACCGTGACATTCGACCTTCTGTAAAGCTTGTTTTTTTTTTATCTTCCTCGCTAATTACGTGAGAACCTCTCCGTTCGGCCGATTTCGCGTACGCGAAACCGCGAACATCCTCGGCCAAATCGAAACCTTTCTGTCCAAGAGTCTGCCTATTTGCCGGTGAACTTTCGCTTTCCGAAGCTTTCGTCGAGAAGCGATCGGACTCGTCGAGACGGCCCTTCCTTTTCTTTTTAGGCCAATCTTCGACACCGCTCATGGCCCTACCGTCTCTCGAATCGGAACTTGAAGGTCATCTCGGGCATGGCCAGATTACCGATCGGGATCGTGTAATCCTCCTTCTCCACCGGTACTATCGTGAAGTTCTTCAGCAACGTGGCCAAGATCGAGAAGCTCAAATACTGGACCAGTTTGTAGCCCATGCACGACCTTCGACCACCACCGAACGGCAAGAAGTGTTCCGGTTTCAGCAGTCTGCCGTTCTGGACGAATCTGTCGGGCATGAATTCTTCCGGCGACGTCCACAATTCGCTCGACATGTTCAGGTCGTAGTTGTTCAGGAACAGGAAGGTGTCCTTTTTGATTCTGTAACCTGCAGAACGATATTTCTCGGTAAGACTGTGGGACGGTATCGGAATCGACGATAAAGGACACGCGACGACAACTTACCAGCGATGGAGCTATCCTGATTGGCCACGTGCGGAACGATAGGGCTGGCGATCAGTCTAACGGTCTCGAGGATGATAGCTTCCACGTAAGGCAAGGATCCTCTGTTCTCCAGGCCGACATAGTGGCCCGTGGTGCCGATAGCGTCGATTTCCGCCTGCGCGACTTTCTGAATACGCGGTTTGGTGGCGAGGAAGCCGAGAACCTTCACCAGAAGATTCCCGATGGCAGTGTGTCCTCCGACGATATCCTCCATCACGAACAACGCCGTGTTCCAGGACATTTGTGGCTCCGCGTCCGTCTTCACGTGGTTGATCAGACAGTCCATGTAATTGTTTTCGGGTATCAAGCCGTTCCATTTGTTCAATTTTTCGGAGATGATGTTGTCGATGACGAATTTTCGGATCTCGTGGCTCCAGTGCGCCATTCTTGCCATGTTTCTGTGGTGCAGAGGCATCAAAAACGGTAGGAAATCGGCGGCGTATCCTTGGTTCACCTCGAAGAACACGCGATCGAAGTTGTCGACCATGTTACGGAAACCGACGTGTCCGAAGCGGAAGTTCTTCGAGCATAGATAAGTGAGGAAAATGTTGGCGCAACAGTGGAGGATCAACGGTTTCGCGTGCACGTCCGTCTTGGACAGAGAGTCCAGATGGTCGACCAGGAACTTCATCTCGTCGCTGATTATACCGTTCAGCTCGTTATAGCGAGTGGAGAAGGCTCGAGGGAACGTGTACGCTCGCAGCATTTCTCTTCGCGTCTTCTGAACCTCGGACCAGTTGCAGAACGCCAGAGCTGCAACATTCGATAGAAAAATCGTCCTTTTAATATTGATCAACGTGTCGCAAACACCATTCCGAACAACAGGAAAGAAGATTCGATGTCGAAATTCCGCTGGAGAGAATAGCCGGTTTTCGTAATTTATTTACTTAAATGTAAAACGGTTCAACAGGTGACAGGAACAAATCGACAAAAGGAAATCGACGTAGAGATTCAACGATTTTCATTGATGCCACAGTCAAGGTAAAGGAAAGATCGACGCGTTAAACTTGACCTTCCAACGGCATTTCTTGACGCAAGAACGCGAACGCGATTTCGAAACATCGTTGTCAGGCGAAAAGGAAAAATTCGTCGACGCGCGTTCTTTCTCCTCTCCCTTTCCGTTGTCGTGTCCTTCTTTCTCTCTCTATCTTTCACCGGTTCTCCTTCCACGTAGCTCTTTCTCTGATCGCACACGCGGAAATACAAGCCGGCTCGCGCGTACTCGGCAGAAAATCGATTCATCGAGGCGCGCGC